ATATGGCCTGACCGGGAATGGAACCGTGACCTCCTGGTTCATAGGTCGACGCTCAACCACTGAGCCACACTGGCCAGGCACAGGGTTTCAGGTTTGGTCCTCAGTTCCAGTCAGGGCGTGTGAGGGAGGCAACCAATTCATGTCTCTCAATACCCTCTGTTGAGGATTAACAAAATAAACAAACAACTTCAAAAAAAAAAAACCACCCCAATTGTGGTGGAGAGAAGGTTCTGGCATATAGCCTGAGCTGGTGGTGTGTGGCTTTGTCACCATAAGTCTGTTTTGCTCAATAAGAATTAAAAAGTTCCCCAAACTGTTTCAGACAATGAAATCATTTTAACTTTCTCTTGTGGGGTTTACATGGCCTTCACTTTAAGACGAGAGCCTCCATCCACAGAATGGGAAGCTGAGTTAAACGGTGCTCGCCTTGGCCTCTGCATGCGCTCTTCAGTGTCCGGCACACGTCCCGATAGTAACAAACACCAGTGTTAGAGGCCATGCAAGCTCTGCACACACCTCCGTGTCTGAGAGATAGCTTTCTTACGCTGGTTAACACTGCGCTGTGACATCCACATGGCATGTGCTGCATTTAAAAATATGTGTTTGTATGAAAACTGAGCCCTTTTATTTTTTTCACTTCCCCTTTCAAAGAAGGAAGAGATAAATCATGAGAACAGAACTGATATTAGGAATTTGGTTCCAAAACACAGAAGCTTCCAGGGAATGTGATGAAGTCCATGTAGGTAAAACGGAACTGTTCTTTCTATTTCATCCTGAATGATTATTCGGTTCAGAATGAGGACACTGAAAATAGCGAATTATCCAAGAAAAATATTATTTTTTTCTTTTCATGCTTCAGTTTATTGATACCTAATCTCGTTTCATAAAAGATGACGTTTTCGCCCGGCTGGCGTGGCTCGGTGTTGGGCGCCGACCTGTGGGCTGTGTGTGTGTGTGTGTGTGTGGCAGGGGAGGGGAGGTGGGGTCGAGGTTCAATTTCCGACTGGGGCGCATGCCCAGGTTGCGGGATCCGACACCAGTGAGGGGCATAGGGGGTGGGTAGCCGATTGGTGGTTCTCTCTCATCATTGCTGTTTCTAACTCTCTTGCCTTTCCTCTCTAAAATCAATTAAAAAATATACATTAAAAAAAAGAAAAAGATGACCTTTTCACCCTGGCTGGTTGGCTCAGTTGGTTGGAACATCGTCAGAAACACCAAAAGGTTGCAGGTTCAATTCCCATCAGGGAACCTGTAAGAAGCAACCAATGAATGAATAAATAAGTGGCACAACAAATCGATGCCTCTCTCTCTCTCTCTCTCAAATCAACAAACATATCCTCGGGTGAGGATAAAGGGGGGAAAAAGGATGATGTTTCCCATCTTGCACATGTTTAAAGATTGAATAAACATTCTTGTATATTTCAAAATGTACAAGAGTCCTAGTCAGTTTGCTCAGTGGTTAGAGTGTCGGCCTACGGTCTGAAGGGCCCTGGTCAAGGGCACGTCCTTTGGTTGCAGGCTTGACCCACAGCCCCGGTCTGGGCATGTGTGGAGGCAACCAATCCATGTATTGCTCTCACATCGATGTTTTTCTTCGTCTCTACTCCTCCTTTCCACTCTTTCTAAAAATCAATGAAAAAGATATCCTCAAGTGAGGATTAACAACAACAACAAAAACAAAAACAAAAAAAAGAGAAAGAGCCGAAACCGGTTTGGCTCAGTGGATAGAGAGTCGGCCTGCGGACCGAAAGGTCCCGGGTTCGATTCCGGTCAAGGGCAGGTACCTGGGTTGCGGGCACATCCCCAGTAGGAGATGTGCAGGAGGCAGCTGATCGATGCTTCTCTCTCATCGATGTTTCTAACTCTCTATCTCTCTCCCTTCCTCTCTGTAAAAAATCAATAAAATATATTTTTTAAAAAAGAGAAAGATTTATATAGACATATAAGTATATTTTAAAAGATGTATTTAAAATATATTAAAGATTAAACTAAACTTTTGTTTGTAGACACTAGTAACTATAAAATAAAATATAATTAAGTCAAATATATGTTTTCCCAAGCATTGTGGCTAGATCTGATTTGCTGTTGCTTGATTGCATTTTTCTCCTTTATTATGTTTTGCTTTTATAAAAAATATATTTTTATTGATTTCAGAGAGGAAGGGAGAGAGAGAGATAGAAACATCAATGAGGAGAGAACCATTGATTGGCTGCTTCCTGCATGGCCCCTACTGGGCATTGAGCCTGCAACCTGGGAAATGTGCCTTTGACTGAAATCGAACCCGGGACCCTTCAGTCGGCAGGCTGATGCTCTATCCACTGAGCCAAACTGGCTAAGGTTATGTTTTGCTTTGTAAAAACTTTTATTTATTTATTTTAGAGAGAGGAAGGGCGAGAGAAACATAAATTTGTTGTTCCCCTTATTTATGCATTCATTGATTGCTTCTTGTGTATGCCCTGACCAGGGATTGAACCCACAACCTTGGCATATCCGGAGGATGCTGTAGCCAACTGAGCGACCTGGCGAGGTTGTTTGTCTGTCTTCTTGATTTTTGATTGTTTCTAGTTTGCTTGTTGGTTGTTTTTTCTATCGCTGTTTTTTAAGACAGTAACTATTTGTCCTTTAGCTAGTGAATAAAATCCTTCAAGTTTTAACATTTTATGGTTTCAATTTATAAGCATTTAAAATGAACTGAAATGAATGTGCTCCAAGCTATCGCGCGCAGCCCTGACCCTTAAGCATACATAATATTTTCTCTCTGAGCTGACCTAGCTAGGGATCCCCAACGTGTTTGCGTTTGCGTTGCAGCCACTGAGTTGGCTCAAAGAGTTAAAGGAAGCATTCATGAGCAGAAGGAAAGTGTTGACCCCCGATCCATGTCACACACCTTTCTCCGTGGCTTCCTGTCCGCCCAAGTCTCTGTACTGAGACTCGCGACTCTCACCTACCCTCCTGGCACAAACTGAAAAAATCCTGCCCCTGGGACAGAGGTCAGCGAGCCACCTTCATGGAAGGTTTGCAGGCTGGCTTGACGCCCGGAGGCAGCACAGAATAGTGAGTCAGCAGGGCCGCTGAGCGGTGTGAACTCTGGCGGGCTGGTTAACACTTCTGTGCCTCCGTTTACTCCTCTGTACAATGGGATCTGTCCCTTTGGGCGGCAGGAAGAGTGCAGGGAGTTAATGCATAGGAAACACGTGGAAGAGCAAGACATGGGCCTGTGTGCCAGGAGAGCGTGGTGTGGCCTGGGGACAAGCCCCCCTCCCCCAGTGGCTACTGCTCTGAAATCAGAGTCCATGCAGGAGGGAGGATCTGGAACCTTGGGAGGAGGTGGGGGGGAGCGGTTACTAAAAGAACAAAGCTTTCTTTTACTGCTGCCGAAAATGGAATGGTGCGCGGAGGACGGCTCTTCTGCACGGGAGGAGTGCCGGCGGGGGACAGAAAATGCTGACTTCTGCCGCCGGCCGCGCCGGGAGGAGGGACTCGCAGCTGAGCAATAAGCCATGTTCCTCCTGCGCAGCCCGTCCCTCTCCCGCGACTGGAAACGCCGTGACGGACCGTCCAAGGTCTCCCGGGCACTTTACAGGAAGCCCAGGAGGAAGGCTGCACCCGGACCATCCGTTTGTAACCGGGGCTGCCGCGCGCGGGCTAAGAGAGCCCTCCGCCACTGTCCGGCTCGTCCCGAAACTGCAGCCTTTTTCCCTTTGGGCCAGTGATAACCACCCATTGTGTGACTTACGCAGTGTGAGTTACCAAAAAATGCGAGGCTTTAAAAACAATATGTTTTTGTCCTAAATGACAAAAAAAAAGATCATTGTAAAAAAAATGTGAAAAATATACACACCGAGAGGAAGTTAAAAATCATTGGATCCCTCTCCCTTCCTCTCTGTAAAAAAAATCAATAAAATATATTTTAAAAAATCATTGGGAATGTTTAATAGCATCTCAGCGGAGGAGAAAGAGTTGGAAAAAGTCCCTCCTCTGTGGTGCAGAATCTGGGATTTTTTTTTAAGATGTTGGGATAGAATAATACCAAAATAAACTCAAGGAGAAAAAGAGGAAGCCGTTCTGCACAAATACTAGAACTGAGACCACTTCCTTCTCAAGTGGGTACATCCTCCGCGATGAGCAAGGACAGGATCTTCAAGGTAGGAAGTAGAAACGAGGTTCCAGGGGACAGGACGCGGGGGCGGGGTGTGGGGGCCCAGCGCTCTGCCCGGACCCTGGACTGCAGTCTGGGCTCTGCAATTGATTAACTCTGTGACCTTGGGAAGGTGACGGTCTCTCTGAGGTCCCCTCTCTAAAACTCGCAGAGTGATATTAAGGCAACGTGCCTGTAAAATAATTTTAACAGAACCAGGGGGCACAGTTCCAAGCTTTTCTGTATTATTGTCTGGATCAAAACATTGCTTCCTTGTTGTCGACATTATTTATCTCCATGGATTTCCAGCTGTTTGTGAAGGCGAAATAAGCTGCTTCCAATGGGCCTATTTAGGAACTTTGATGGTTTAACCTCGTGCATTTCTCCAAAGTCATGTGTTGAGAAACAGGTCCCCAGAAATATGCTTCCTCAGCCTGAAAGAGAGGAGGTGACGCTGTCCTGAGGCTATAAAGCCACCTCCCTCGAAGGTATGTTTGGTTTTTTAATTTATTTTTCAATTACAGTTTACTTTCCATAGTCACCTCGCTCAGTTTCTTCCTAACCCACGCATGTGCTGGCTGCCTTTGGACACGGATAAACGTGTCCTCCTCACAAATACTTAAGTGCTCTTGATAAACGGATCAAGAAGTTGGTATTTCCACGCCAAACACATCCTCATCTCTACCCCATCTCTGGCCAAATTCGGGCTCTGGCCCTGAATGTGCAACGTCTCCGAAAAACATGCCTGCCTATCTGGGAGCCCACACCCTTTTGCTGTCCCACATGAAACCTGGCGGCAGGCCAAGGGTATGGCCAAAGAGTGTGCCAGAGCGAATTAATCACTGCCCCCTCCCCCCAGGAAGGGACAGAGCCCCCCCTCCTGGGGGCGCTGCTGAGCCCACCACCCTGCTGGACATCCCTCAGGGCATCAGGAGTCTGTTCAATTCCTCCAGCTACTGGTTGGCTTCCCTGAGCCTGCTTTTGGCACAGGTAGGAGAGGAGGAGGGAAAAAAATGGTGTAAGCAAGTTTCGAAATCTTAGATCATTTCATGAATGACTCAGTGTTTCCTTCTGGAAAAGTGCAATAATGGGCTTTCATTAATAACTTAGCTCTGAAAAGAGGCTCTAACGTGGAGGAGCCTTGGTGCTCTCTGAACCCGGCGTCCTCCCTCCAGCCTCCATTTTTCTGGCCTCCCCAGGAATTTTATTCACTTGATAACGGGGGCTTGTTGAAAAATAACCTGTCATAGACTTCCTCCTTCAGGCTTCCTGTTCTTTCTGAGAAAAGTACCGAGGTTGTCTCTTTCTTTCTCTTTTCTTTTTCTATTTAAAAATATTCAAAATATAATGTATCAAATTGACACAACCTTAAACTCACACAATATGAACCAATTACATTTTAATAAGAGACTAGAAGAGAATAGCCTGGTATTTATTTATTTCTAAAATGAGAATGTCATACAGTGGATTGCTTTAGTGTGTGAAATACATAACTAAATATGTTTCAAATATTATCTTTAATTTGGCTACATTTCAATTTTAGAATTAAAAGGGGAAAAGCAACAACAACAAGAAAAACAAATAAGAGCTCTGTGTCTTCCTGCCTCTGCACATCAACAGCCCTAAGTTTTGATACAGAAGAAAGACATCCAGGCTTCCGGGCCGGGGACTCCAGCTCAGAGCCATAAACCCAGAGGACGTCTCCAGTGACTCATTACTGGAATAAATGTTGCTAATGTGAAAGGTATGCAAATAGAGCTTAAACGGGTGAAGGAAGACGCTGCAAGCCGATAAATAACATCCAGAATGTTACTGTGGTTACGGTGGACTCTATTTGCATACAGGCTTATCTTGTTTTTAAAGAAGGAGGGGGAGTAAAAAAAGGAGGAGGAAGAGAAAAATCCCAACTTTCGCCTCCTGTTCTCAAAATCCAATCTCTGAAGAAGGCCTGGTCTTTCAAGCCATGTTAACCAGCAAGAAGTGCTTTGTGTGGCAGAATCCAAAACACATCCAATACATTTGCTAGTATGTAGAATGCAAACACGGGCTAGCCTCAGGTCATCTTACTGAGAGAATTGCACAATCAAACTTTTTGTCATCTAGGGTGGTGTGCTGGGTCAGGACTGATCTGTCACTACTCCGGTTTCAGGAGTGGCCCTGCCCGGTGGCTGGACTCATCACTAGTGGGTCCCTGGCTCCTCTTCCAAGTCAGACTGAGAGAGAATGAAATAGAGAGAGAGAGAGAGAGAGAGAGAGAGAGAGAGAGAGAGAGAGAGAGAGAGAGACGCCCCTAGTAGATCCTGAGCTCTATCTCAAATTACAGATCTTGCAGCACCGAGTCCTGTGAATGAAAGCCAGAATGACTCGTCATTCGGGAAGGAGAGCTCACACTGTGAGTCTTATTTACGTCTGTGTAGGCATGTATTTGCCCATGTTGGGCTCTGGAAAACGCCGTGCTTCCTTACCATTGCTCATCCATGTAAGGTGGACATAGTTCTAGGAAACAGATGAGCAAAGTCCACACTGACTCAGAAAGAGAATGGATTTGAATAAATGCTTCAGAAAATGTCTACATTAGTCTCACACACGTAGGTAGGCAAGCTCACGGGAGGCAGGGGCCCTGCAGAAGCCCCCTGTGGCACCCACCAGGCAGCGTCTCCAGCCCCCAATTCAGCATCTTAAGAAGGAGGGGGAGCCCTGGCCGCCGGGTAGTTCAGTTGGTTAGAGCCCAGTCAGATATGTCAAGGTTTCGGGTTCCATCTCTAGTCTGGACACATACAAGAAGTAACCAATGAACGCATAACAAATCTCTCTCTCTCTCTCTCTCTCTCTCTCTCTCTCTCTCTCTCTCTCTCTCTCTCCTCTTCCTCTCTTTCTATAAAATCAATAAAAAAAGAAAAAGGAAGATCAATGTGGGAAGAATCCAGAGAATTCATGAAATACACTCAAAACCATTCAAACGCTATAAAGATTCGTTTCATAAGTATCTTCAGTGTTTTCTTTGATATGGGTATTTAATCTAATTTTGGGACCATTTGTCAAGATGAAGCAGGTTTCCTATTTAGAGTTCCTGTGCACCCCCGCCCCCATCCTGGCTCCCCAAATAAAGTTGGATTCTGAAATGGAAAGTGAGACAAGGGAGGAGTGATAAGAAGCGGATGTACTGACAGAGAGAGGTGGCTTATTTTAATGAGCTTGGTCCCTTAAGATTATCATACATACTGGTACACATGCATTAGTGTACTTAAAAATCACAGCTTTATATGTGTTTTTTAAAAGAAGTTAATGCCTGCTTCTGGTATCCAATTCAAGAGATACAAAGGGGACACAGAAAAAGCTAGTCCTCCCCTCCCCACCCCACCCCTTTGTCCCCCTGGTTCCCAGCCTCTCAGGTCCCCTCCCTAGAGGTCACCACTAAGACCAGAGTGAAGATTTTTTTAAAGGAGATAATTATCCTGTCAATTTGGTTTTCCTTTATAACGTGAATACATTTTTGGGGTCTTTATTCCTGGATAATTCCCTCTGAAATACCCTAAGATACAGGAGGATTTAAAAAAAAAAAAAAAAAAAGAGGTTTGGGGTATGACAGTCTTTACCTGGGAGGGTTTTAATTCAACTGTGAAACCTTTTTGTTTTTTCTGCCCCATCCTACCTGACCAGAGGAGTTCCGTGAGGGTGGTGAGGGGAGGTGAGCAGCCTGTTCAGCATTTGTAGTCTCTAAATTTGTATAAGAGAAAGAAAACAAGACATGATTGAAGAAGCAAACATTTTTAACACCCGAGGAAAATCATCATTGGAAAAGATCAGGTGAAAAAGCAGAATGCTACCAAGTACTAAGCCATCTTTCAAGAGCTGCAAGCAGCACTGGCGGGGTAGCTCAGCTGGTTAGAGCATCGACCTGATACCCCAAGGTTCAAGCCCTGGTCAGGGCACATTTGGGGGGTCAATCAATGGATGCATGAATAAATGGGACAACAAATTGATGTTCCTCTCTTTCTCTCTCTCCCCTTGCCTCTCTTTCTAAATCAATAAATAAAAAAATAAAGCTGCGCCCAGACCGGTTTGGCTCAGTGAATGGTGCGTCAGCCTGCGGACTGAAGGGTCCCAGGTTTGATTCTGGTCAAGGGCATGTACCTTGGTTGCGGGCAAGTCCCCAGTGGGGGGCGGGGGGTGCAGGAGGCAGCTGATCAATGTTTCTCTCTCATCAATGTTTCTAACTCTCTATCCCTCTCCTTTCCTCTCTGTAAAAAAAAAATCAATAAAATATATTTTAAAAATAAATAAATAAATAAAGCTGCAAGCAAACACCATCATGGCAATGGCAGTTATTTCTGTTTCTGAGTGTTGTCTGTTGGCCTTATGGGTGATTTCTGTAAGTTTCAAACTTTGTATAATAAACAATAAGGATTTCTAGTCATAAAGATAAAGAAGTACTTTTAAGGTTTATACATTGCATACTAGACTGTATTCTCTGGCCTTTTCTAAGGATATTGCCAACTTTGAGAATTCTTATACTTAATATATGGCAAGTAATAGGCCTAATAACAACATTCTTCTACTTTTTGCTCCGTTATCCTAAATTACTCTGATTTATGTACTGTGGCATCTACTATGTTCTACTTAAATTTGTTCAACAAACATTTAAATAGAGTTTAACCAATAATACCTATATAATTTCCATGCCTATCCCACAGTTTGGGAAATGGTACTTTTAATTTTATGCAGGAAATTCTGTACCAGTTCAATACATTTAAATTAAACTTGAATATTGAGGGTCTGATTGATTTGTTTTTATTTACTTTAAATATATTTTTATTGATTTCAGAGAGATAGAATGATGAGAGAGAATCATTGATCGGCTGTCTCCTGCACGCCCCCCACTAGGGATTGAACCTGCAACTCGGGCATGTGCCCTAGACCAGAATCAAACCCGGGACCTTCAGTCCACAGGCCGACGCTCTATCCACTGAGTCAAACCAGCCAGGGCTGATTGGATTTTTTAGTGGGTGCATTTTGACACCTACAAAAAGCCTGAGAATGGACCACAGACACTATCAATATTCTACAAACTCCCCTGGCAGCAGCCACTTGACTTAATCAGCTTAATAATTCATTAACACTTGTAATGTTACTTTTCAATTGTATGCTGTGCGTACTTAAAAGTAAAAAGGACAAAAATAAGTTTGAGGGGGAAAACATTTTAATTGTTTTCAAATGTTCCAATAAAACTGAAACGCATACACTCTTGCTCAAGAATGTCCTTGCCAGATTATTACATACTTGCTTGCCAAATCTCTCTAGCTTTCTCCTATTTTCTTAATCTTAGAAACTACAGACAATATTAAAGGTTGCTGGCTGGTCAGAACACATAAATGCTCTCAAAAGGCTTTTAAATGTTCAAATGTCATAGGAAGGAATGGGAAAAAAAAATCAGATCTCCACTCTTCAAAACAATTAAAAATTTATGAGTCAGAAAATAGCAAAATAATCTTAAACTCCCAAGAACAAAGTATTACTTTTTTTTTTGCATTCATGTTTAAATAACCATTTTGTTATCTTCAACTGTAGTTCCTGCTGAGAACATCCCAATAAACGGCCAGTCTGTGTGACTAAGGAAATACTCTAACTTCTGATCCACTGATAGGAGAAGAAATATCACCACGGCCAGGAGGTCTCGCAGGTCACTATCTAACAGACGGTGGCACCAGCGCAGGCCCAGCTCCGCGATGAGGGAGCGGTGGTAGTGCCTCAGCCATGAGGCGTCTGCTAAGATTATTTCAGGCCATTGAATGACACCAGGTGGGCATCCTGCACGCTGGGTTCTATATGAAAGAAGAGGGTGTCCTGTGTTCAACGCCGAAGCTTTGAATGATTACAGGGTAAAATGCCAGCTTTTTCTGATGAATTTGCAATATTTTGCCACATACTTGAAAACTAATATAGACACAACATCTTTTTTTAAAAAAATATATTTTATTGATTGTTTACAGAGAGGGAGAGGGATAGAGAATTAGAAACATCGATGAGGGAGAAACATTGATCAGCTGCCTCCTGCACACGCCCCACTGGGGATGTGCCCGCAACCAAGGCACATGCCCTTGACCAGAATCAAACCTGGGGCCCTTCAGATCGCAGGTCGACGCTCTATCCACTGAGCCAAACCAGCCAGGGCAAGACACAACATCTTTAATAACTTGTAAAAGTAAAGTGAAGAGCAGACATTGTTTTCTAATATACAGAAGTGGAAGGCAACAAAATGTTAGGGTAAACTTAAATATCATTTTTGTCTCAAGCGAAACTGTTTGATATGAATACCATCCTCCAAATATTCATAAGAACAATGTTATTTCAATCTTGATTTCTTTGAAGTTAAAAGAAAACTCAGCTCCTTGGGTTCAGGATTAGACTTTACAATGTACTGTTTTTATGTTTGTTTTTGAAACAGCATAGATTTTATTATTTATTTATTTATTATTATTTTTTCCCATCACCATTTATCTAAACCTCTATGTCCTCTTTCACTTCCACCACCCTCCTCTTCCTGTACTATGTTTATAAACAGTATTTTAAAGAAAAACAACAACTATGACATCTGTTTGTCTCCATAAAGACAACATCTTAGCCCTAGCTGTTCGGCTCAGTGGATAAAGTGCCGGACCAGGCCCAGGGACTGAAGGATTTTGGGTTCGATTCTGGTCAAGGAAGGTCAAGGGCACATACCTCAGTTGTAGGCTCCATCCCCACCCCAATCAGGGAGCATGTGGGAGGTAACCAATTCATGTGTTGCTTTCACGTAGATGTTTCTCTCTGTCTCTCCCCCTCCCTTCCACTCTATCCGTGGGTGAGGATTAACAACAATAACAAAAAGAATAAATCTCATTTTTTAAAAAAAAGACAATATCATAGTCATAGGGCACCTTTCATGCACCCTCATAGTATCTTATGATATAAGGTGGGAGTGGGGAAACTGAGTCAGGGTTAGAATCAAATTGTTGCTCTTACATGACCCACGAACACCAAAAGCCCAAGGTCTATTTAATTTAAGACGCACCCTTTGCTCTGGACTCAACTTGACATAATTGTTATTTTAAGTAAATGTACTTTCTCCTTCTTCTCCTTCTTCTTCTTCTTCTTCTTCTTCTTCTTCTTCTTCTTCTTCTTCTTCTTCTTCTTCTTCTTCTTCTTCTTCTTCTTCTTCTTGTAAACGTATTTTAAAATATATTTTTCATCATAATTATCTCTAGTGGTAGAAGAAATTCATTACTCTCAGGGATCAGAAGGAAAGGCTTTCTTTCCTAAGAGATCCAATGAAGGGGTGGTCTATCCCACTAAACAGCTTCAGACATTCACAAATGCCAGGAGATATAATCAGAAGAAATAAAATTCCTAAGTAGGCCTTCTTTGCTCCTTCTGAGACACCTGAGAAGGCAGGTTTGCCACTAAGGCGAACACATGTGCTTTCTGTTGGGGTTTAAGACAGTGAGCTTTTCTTATCTATCCTCTTATTTACAGCTAAAGTAATTAATTAAAAACAAAATATCAAGCTTTCAACCTGGTGGTCAAAGAAGAGAAGAATTCTTTGAGAAGACATAGTTTAGGAGAGAAATAACTGCCCTGGCTGGGTGGCTCGGTTGGTTAGAGTGTCAGATATGCCAATTTTCAGGTTTGATCCCAGGTCAGGGCACATACAAAAATCACCCAATGAATGCATAATTAAGTGGAACAATAAATTTTTCTCTCTGCTCTCCCTCTCTTTCAAATCAATAAATAAACATAAAAAATGGGGGGGGGGGGGAGGTGCCCTGCAGGCATGGCTCAGTGTTTGAGCCTTGACCTATGAACCAGGAGGTTATGGTTTGATTCCCCGTCAGGGCACCTTCCCAGGTTTCCGGCTCTATCCCCAGTAGGAGGCGTGCAGGAGGCAGCTGATCAATGATTCTCACTGATGTTTCTCTCTCCCTCTACCTCTCCCTCTCTCTGGAATCAATTAAAATACATATATCTTTAAAAAATTATTGTTTTTTATATTAAAAATTTTTTAAAGGAAGAAATACCTAAAAGGGGAAAATGGGATAATGCATTGTAGCACAGACTGAATGAGGATCCCTCAAAGTGCAAAAATAATGTTTTCCAAAGATTTTTTTGTCTGTCAAATCACCTGCTTGGAGTTATTTTACATTTCTTTAAAACCTCCAAGTTCAAAGTAAATAATTGTTAATAAGGGTTAAATACAATCTCTTTAAAATCTAATCTTTTAAAAATCCAATCTTTTTAAAATCCAGTCTTTACACGGAGAATGTTTCCTGAGAATCTGACATTTCAGTTAAGGTTGCAATCTTGTCAAAGTTGATCAAAGACATCACATTGGAATATTGTGAC